AAATTGATTTATTTAATTATTCATTTAGCAGACTTACAAATGAGGATTACAGCAAGAAATTCATCCTACTTTGTTTAGAAGATTTGTCAAAGTTTACATTACGGTTTACTGGGAGAAACATACTGTTTAAAATAGCTTTACTAGTTTTAAACAAATGTTTACATTTGAGGTTATGGTTCGTAAAACTGGACATGCTTGATGTACCTCCCACTATCCCTTATTGTCATTGCTAGGTTAAATTGACTAAAATCAAAACTCAAGATTAAGATGGAAATTGGAAATGATAGCTTAAATAACTAGACGCCGCTATCTAAAGTAACCCCACTTGTAAACACACTGGATTTAATATAGGGAGTTTAGTGTGTTTGCACAGATTCTTGTGGCTTCTCTATTGCATAGTGTTGAGTGAAACCAGGGCAATGGCAGTTTTCCACTTGAAGTCAATTTCACTGCTTCAGTCAATATACAGCGCACTGGATTTATAAGTTACAGATTGAAGTGTTCTGCTTGAATATTTGTTAAATATTAGCTTATGCTAAGATTACACATTAAATAATAAGTCTTTGTTTGCTACGTGATTTATTTATTATTGATATGAGCAAAATAAAAGTGCTTTTAGTTGTAAGAGATGTCCTTTAATAATACTTTTCTAATAATAGCTAATAATAGTTTTCTATTTACTCCTGTATCCTTAACTGGACCTCAGTAAAGGCCTAATGGACATATTTCCCCATGAATACGTTACATTATTATTAGCTTAAACTACAAATTGATTGTGATTTTCCCCATTTGTAAGTTACTGGATGAAAGCGTCTTCTAAACGAATAAATACATTTAGTGTAGTTTACTTAATCCAATAAAAGCACATCAATAGATGTTTTTTTTTCTTGTTAACACATAAAAAATTGTTTAACAATCTGAATGTCTGTAGTTGATCTCTATCAAACAACATGATTTTCTCAGAACATAAAAGCATCTACAGTCCCAGCAACATGTAAAAAACATCTAAAAAAATAAAAGCATAAATGAGGCTTGTCTTGGCTGCAACTTTATCCCACATCAAACGGGATGTTTTTCTTTTTTATAGCCAGTGAGTAAATGGTTTGTAAACTCTGGCTGGAGATGCAGCAAAAAAAAAAAAAAAAGCTGTAGTGGTGTATATTAATCAGCTGTTACGAGGGCCACAGGTGCTCTCTCTGGAAAATATTTACCCAAGAGGCACAAATGATAGCTGAAGACTGTTTATGCAATTAGGAACATACTACTAGTTGATGTTGCTTGATTTTTAAATGACATTTTTTTCAAAGTGTTGCAAGCTCTGTTTGTCTGTGGGTGTGTATCCGTTTGATATAAAATGAAAGGAAAATCGCTTTTACACATACTAAATTGTTGATGTAATGGGTTTGCTGAGAATATTTGGTAAAGCCAATACTGTGGATTTGTGTGTGTGTGTGTGTGAAATAAGCGTCTCAGCTGTAAAACCATCTGTTGAAGTAATTTAGAAGTGAACTAAAATATGTCTTCACAGGACTTGCTAGCAACATGGTCAGTGAGACTCAAGTCTTTGTTTAGATATTAAGTCAGCTTCTATTTCAGTCATGCTAATTAAGCCAAAGTCTACAACAAAAAGCCTCAAATCATAGCTAACATGCAGCATCTGCCCAGCACTGAGGTTAGCTTAGATGTTATGTTGCTGTAGCTTGTATACTAGGTTATGTTGGGTTGGATCTGTTGAAAAAAAACAGCATATGCTGGTTAGGTATGTTTTGATGCTGGTTTAAGCTGGTCCTTTGCTGGTTTATGTGGGTCCTTTTGCTGGTTTATGCTGGTCCTTTGTTGGTTTATGCTGGTCCTTTGCCAGCACATGACCAGCATAAACCAGCAAAAGGACCAGCATAAACCAGCAAAGAACCAGCTTAAACCAGCAAATGACCAGTTTAAACCAGCAAAGGACCAGCTTAAACCAGCATCCCAGCGTCTTTGATACGCTTTTTTTCAACAGGGATGTTAGCTTTTATGTTATAGATTATGTTGTGTTTAGTTATATGTTATGTTCGGTTATGTTATGTTACTGTAGGCTGGATGTTAGGTTAGCTTATATGTTATAGGTTACGTTAGGTTGCATGTTATGTTATGTTATTGTGTTATTATATACCTAATTTGCATTTAAATGTGTAAAATGTGCATGGCAACAAACTTCTGTTTTGCAATGTCCACAGGGCCTGAAGGAACTTAACTACTAACAGTTTTGGTTTAAAACATAGGAGGTTATTACACTGCAAAGAAAACTAGCTGCTTCAAAACATTTATTTACTTAATATATGATGGTTGTAAAACAGCCCTTTGTCCTGCAGGTTTTCAGCAGAGTCCTACATTACAAAGTTTTCTGAGGCAACGATTTTATACAGGAACATCAAACACACATAAATGCCACTAAATTTGGTGGTTTTGAAGTCTCAGAACTGTTGCATTTTTTGGTAAATAAAATTGAGAAAACGGCTGCGAGAGACGTGTGAATGTAAGCAGACAATGCACCCAGCCAGACTAAATCCCAGCTGCGTTTGAGCTTTTTGTTTAGCTGGGCTATTTTCCAGTCACCTCTTGTGAACTCTTTGGTAACTGTTCTGTGACGATTACAGGATTTGTCAGGGCATGAGGATTTTTTTGATACGCTACTGTAGCGAATGTGATAAACACGCCAGGTGAGGTGACTGAACATAACAGCCGGATTTGAGGGGCCAAGTCGCGTCTTGGCTTCAGCTCCTGGAATCTGACCTGCTTTAGATGAAAATCGGACAGGTCAGCATTTGGATGGGATACAAAAATACCCCCTATACTGTATCCATTCAGGGTCTTTGTGATCCATTCGCAGCTGGGACACACATCAGTGTGTGTGTGTGGACGAGAGGGTAGTAGAAAGAAGACACTGGAATGCAGTCGACGCCAGCTTGCTCTTTGGCCTTTCAGAGGTAACCAAGCATATCCTCCTAAGCCTTCAGCCTCCCTGCCTCATTCTCTAGCATAAAAGACCAAACCTTGGCCGAGTGGCAAAAGACAAGGAAAAAAAAGCAGCGGATGATTGGGGATCATCTTTTCCGCTCTGCAGTGGTCCATCTATGGTTGTATCTGGAGACATCAGAAGCTCCATAACATTGTCTTACACTCATTAAAATAAAGGCTCCAGAGAGCGTTTTTTGTAGCAATGTAATAGAAAAATAATTTTTGTTTCCAAAAAAGAACCTTTCAGGGAACAGTTCTGAAAAGAACCATTTTTGCATACAGTGAAGTATATTTCATTCTAAGGAACATTTTTCCACTATGAACGTTTTGTACGTTTCCATGGATATTCTACATGGTTCCATGGAGGTTCTTCATGTCATTGCTAACTTGTATGACTTTCTTCTGTGGAACACAAGAGGTATTTTGAGAAATGTTTAAACTGCTCTTTTCCATACAACAAAAGCAAATAGTGACCAAGGGATGCTTCAAAAAGAATGACAAAGCACCATTCAATGTGATGCATGCAACTTGTTTGCTGTAGTGTGTGTATTTAAGGATGTTTTGTTGAAAACTAAAGCTTTTGTATTCAGTCGTAATGAAACAAACATGATCTGTTTGGACCTGGAAGTCTTGATGCTGATAGCCTTCTGATGTATTTTGTGATTTGTGGTGGTAAACTCCAAAAGATCCATGTGATTATTGCTAATGTGTTTTTTTTTCTTTCTGTAAATCATCATTAACTTTGTCATAATTTTTGCAATGCGTGAGTTAGTACAAACAAAGCTCTTTTCATACAATATATTGTTCCTAGTAAGGATTAAAGAAACTGATGCCAATCCAAGATCTGCAGAACAGATTTGAGGCCGAAAAATAACCGCTGATGGCTTCTGTGAATTTGTTTTGACATTTTTTTCCTCCAGTGATAAAGCAGAATACATTGGAATTATGATTTAAACAGTCCCTGATTTATTTATTTAAATTTGTTATCCCTTTCAGAGGCCAAAAGGAGTTTCCCTGCTGAAAAGACCAGTTCAGACCAGAATTAATTTCTGTACTTGTCCAAATTGGCTATACTGTGTTTTTCAACACTACAAAAAAATGTTTTTTAACTATTTCTATTAATTCTCATAATGATTTGTTTAAAGATTGTGATATTTCACACAAGGTCTGGTAATTTTCTTACAGATAATTGCATCTATGTGACCTGATATCACAATTACAACTTTAATTTACATATTTTGCAATGTAATTTCTCAGTATTTGGGCTGTAAAATTCAAAATTGTGCCAAGAGAGGGCCTCCAAAGTTCTTTTTTTTTTATTTATTTATTTAAATTTGTTATCCCTTTCAGAGGCCAAAAGGAGTTTCCCTGCTGAAAAGACCAGTTCAGACCAGAATTAATTTCTGTACTTGTCCAAATTGGCTATACTGTGTTTTTCAACACTACAAAAAAATTTTTTTCAACTATTTCTATTAATTCTCATAATGATTTGTTTAAAGATTGTGATATTTCACACAAGGTCTGGTAATTTTCTTACAGATAATTGCATCTATGTGACCTGATATCACAATTACAACTTTAATTTACATATTTTGCAATGTAATTTCTCAGTATTTGGGCTGTAAAACTCAAAATTGTGCCAAGAGAGGGCCTCCAAAGTTCTTTTTTTTCAGATCCCGCCACGATACCCTGTTTCTGTTTTTCCACAAGTGTACACTTAAAAATAAAGATTCTTTATTGGCATCTATGGATCAAGGACCTTTCCATTCGGCAGAAGGTTCTTTATAGCAGAAAAAAAAAAGAAAAGTTCTTTAGATTTTTTTTTAAATGTTCTTCAGACTAAATAAAAAAGTTTTTTTAAGAACTGTTCACTGAAAGAGGAACCAAATATGGTTCTCTCTGTTATCACTGAAAAAAAAAACCTTTTGGAACCATTATTTTTTTAAGAGCGTAGTGGTAAATAGTTAAAATTCAAGCATCTGCATGTGTGTCGTAACTTTTCAACTGGTTCAAGATAGAGAATTGGCCAGAGGCCCCAAGCTAATTTGACCTCGAGATCTATCTAAATCATGTTGAACTTTATCTTCCAGATCATTACACACAGGTTCTTCACTGCCAGCATGAGTGCATCCGAGACTTGGCCACACGCCCCGGTCGCCTGTCGCCCATGGAAAACTATCTGCCACTGCATTACGACTACCTGCAATTTGCCTATTTCCAAGGTAAACCTCTATACATGTCAAAACTGGCTTGATTGAACTTTCTTGAACTCACCTTCACAACTTCTAGTCTTGGAGTGAAACTCATTGGGCTTGATATGGTATCTGACCCCAATTCTCTCCTTGCATCTTGGACTCAAGATAGAAGATATTGGCTACAACACTACTGACTTCCATCAGTCAAATTAGAAATAGTCTGTAATGGAAAGGAATTGTCAGCAGTAATTATAATCAGATTAAAAGCACCTTAAAATTATTTCGAAATTACAAAACCTCATTAATCATGAAATTACTCACTCTAAAATAGAGGGAGAATCTGATAAATATTTCAGACTTGACTGATTTCTTCTTGGAAATGTCAAAGCTGAACTTTTGCTTCCACACCAATAAAAAGAGCTCCAAGATGAGAAATTTTAGCTTTACAAATACTGCTTGTTGTTCATAAAATGGCAAGTCATTCAGGTGTGTGTTTGCGAGTGCCGTCTCTGTTGCAAGTCTCAGAGCCGTGTGTTTCCACTCGCTCATCCCTGTGTGGTGTTTGTTCCATTGTGGTCACTGGCCTGGAATGCGAATGTTTCCGAGCATGTGGGTCTCCAAAAGGAAATAAACGTGACTGTGGGAAAAGATGACTCCAAAAAATCAGACAGCCTCACAGGATGTAAAATCCAAGAAACAGAGCCCTGGTGGCTTCATCAACATTTAATAACTGGTTCTCTCCTCTATGGGAAGGAATGAGAAGGCGTTGGAGTGCGCATTGACCTACCTGTTGTTCCACGAAGGCGAAGAGTTCATGACTGAGAATGTGGAGCATTACAGGGAAGTGCTGGGACATGATGGCCAGCCTCGCAAGGTGAGACATGGTGGTGCAACATGCAGAAAAAAAAACAAAGCAGTGTGTTGATTTGATATAGTTTTTTTTATTAATATTTTGAATTAGTTTTTATTTTACATTTTCAGTTATGCTCTGGCAACTAGCTGAAATAAGTTTGTTTTTTACTTTTTTTCAGTTAAAGTTTATTTTATTTCAAGAAACAAACTTTTTTTTATGTATTTAGTTTTAGTTAAAGGGATAGTTAACCCAAAAATGAAAATGTGATGTTTATCTGCTAACCCCCAGGGCATCCAAGATGTAGGTGATTTTGTTTCTTCAGTAGAACACAAATGAAGATTTTTAACTCAAACCGTTGCAGTCTGTCAGTCGTATAATGTAAGTGGATGGGAATCACGGCTTTGAGAGTAAAAAAAAACATGTACAGACAAAACCGAATTAAACCCTGCGGCTCGTGACGATACACTGATATGTAAAGACACAAAACAATTGGTCTGTGCAAGAAACTGAACAGTATTTATATAGTTTTTTACCTCTGATTTTCACCGTAATGTCCGAACTTTCCTGAGCGCGTTCGCGTCTTCTTCTTCAGCCTGCGCGTGAGGCGCCTTCTTCTTCTTCTTGCTTTACGGCAAATCACAGACTTATAAGTGCATTACCGCCACCTATCTCTCAAATGGACCATTGACACTCCTAATTGAGATTGTAGATAGAGTGTCAATGGTCCATTTGAAAAAAAAAATCTTCTTTGTGTTCTACTGAAGAAACAAAGTCACCTACATCTTGGATGCCCTGGGGGTAAGCAGATAAACATAACATTTTCATTTTTGGGTGAACTATCCCTTTAACTATAATAACCCTGACACTCACATGTCTTCAAGATAAAATATGGTATTTTTACTTGGATGCACCAAATTACTTTTTGTTTGTTTTTTTATTCCTTTTCTATATTTCAGACATTCTTATTTCATTGAAGCAGATGCCATATGACAGTCATGATAGTGGAAATTTGCAATTTGAAATTTGCTTGATACGAGCCATTGATCGACTGCTTACTGAGACGTTTATTGTTCTAAATCTCAAAGTCTCCTGAGATAGACCCAATTTACAAATTTTCCTTTTAGTTGATGCTTGTCTTTAAAGTAACTTATCTTACACTAGCATCAGTCAACATCGAACAAGTTCAAATTCATAATGGTGATAGTTCTTGAAATGCCGTTTGAAGCTTTTGAACAGATCCAGATCTTCCCAGTGCAGATCTATTACGAAATCACTATAGTAGACTTAATCCTCAAGTGCAGAATTTGGCAGGATGCCAGCGTGCATAAACACACTAGAATAATCATGTGTTTGGTGGGTTTGGTATCCAAGATGTACAATAATGGCTGCACACACTCTTGAACTATCCAAAAGAGTCTTTTGCTGGAAAGCCTGGAAGCTATTAGCACTGTTAAAGCCACATGAGTTTGGTAAGTCAAGTGCCAGAGGGCATCAATACGTCTTTCACTGCAAGATCCTTCAGTTCTTAGCTCATAACAACCAAGTACATTCTTTTCCACCCTATTGCAGAGTGTTTCCATCTATATGGGCTTGCTGCCATGTCTGATTGCCCGATTTCTAGTTCCTCCGGGACCTTGTTAACCCACCGCCGAGATACTGTGCTGACAGCATAGTCTTCTCAAACAGGGAGCTGAGTAGAAAGTTTCACTGAAACACCGCAAAGCTCCCTGAAACAATTTGAGAGCTGTTTGCATTCGAAGAACACAAAGCCGCAAATGCTACCCATGTAACTCAAGGGCACCTAGGCTGCCATTTCATGTGGTCTTGACCACACTTAGAAGCAGCAGACTTTGCTCCAGTTATAACAAGTTGCTTTAAATGAGTGCCAGAGACCACTAATAAAAAGTCTTGGAAAATGCCAAGAGAAATCGCACAGGTTGTGGAACGGGCTTGATTTTAGACTGAGACTACGCCATCCATCCCTCAGGTTTTGTTGTGTTGTAAACAAGATGTTTGGGAGATAAAATAATTAGGGCCATAATCTTAAACCTACAGCATGTAGTAAATATAATCAGTCTAACTATGCTTTTTTATGCCACAGGAAGCTGAACAGTATCTAAAGCGGCACAAACAGGAGTTAGACCTGCTGCTCATCGGCAGCAGTAGTCTTGGAGTGCCCTATATTGAAGCAGTAAGTTCACAAAATGAACTAGAAATGGGTTTCTAAAGCTCAAGTCTGCCATTTTTTTCTGTATATACCAGTTTAATATGCAGAGATATTTATAAGCTAGTAATTTGTAGGTTTTCTAAAAAAAAAAGTGTACATTGAAAAAAAATTTTAATACCCTAAGCTATATGTATTAGTTTTTTCTCAAATTATATTTAAGGCTCCGCTCAAACCTTAAATAAGTTTTAATAATAATCACAAATATTTATAATTCCAACAACAAAAATTGGCGTTCATGCAAAGTAAAAAGATTTTTTTTCTTATAAAGCCCATGTTTTCTTTTTACAAAAATCATATCGTTACTTAATGTAGGTCTATATATATATATATATATATATATATTAAAAATGAATTTAACCACGAACAAAAGCTAAATTAGTTATAATATGAAAGTATAATTTTCACTTAAGATAAAACTAAAGCATTTTGTTTATCAATGTTTCATTTAATTTACTTTTAATAAATAAAGGCAGGAATATTCACTTTGAAAGTCCATCAGTTTTGATGTCTTTTTAAAATATGAATCATCTTTTCTGTTATGTACTGACAAAAACACACACACACACACACAAAAAATCAAATAAAACCCACAATCATTTCTGCATTCAGGTAAAATTGGCCAGTGACTATTTTTATTTATTTATTTATTTGTCAAGCAAAAATACTATTTAATCAAAATTGTTTTTTTCCTTGTTTTTTACTATGGGATAATTCCAACAACAAAAATTGGCGTTCATGCAAAGTAAAAAGATTTTTTTTCTTATAAAGCCCATGTTTTCTTTTTACAAAAATCATATCGTTACTTAATGTAGGTATATATATATATATATATATATATATTAAAAATGAATTTAACCACGAACAAAAGCTAAATTAGTTATAATATGAAAGTATAATTTTCACTTAAGATAAAACTAAAGCATTTTGTTTATCAATGTTTCATTTAATTTACTTTTAATAAATAAAGGCAGGAATATTCACTTTGAAAGTCCATCAGTTTTGATGTCTTTTTAAAATATGAATCATCTTTTCTGTTATGTACTGACAAAAACACACACACACACACAAAAAAAATCAAATAAAACCCACAATCATTTCTGCATTCAGGTAAAATTGGCCAGTGACTATTTTTATTTATTTATTTATTTGTCAAGCAAAAATACTATTTAATCAAAATTGTTTTTTTCCTTGTTTTTTACTGTGGGGAAAACAGGTTTAAACCAGAAACCATGATTAAACAACATGGTCGTTTCACTTTTTTAAGTGTAGATGTTTCAAAACATTGCTGTTTGTTTGATAATCCTAACCAACCTGATAGAGCTACAGTGGGCGGGATTATCTGTTTGTTCAACCAATGGAAGATAGGGGAAGTCTGTTTGAAAACAAAATGTTTGCCGATTTAATTAAGAGTTCACTTTGTAAATGTATGAGGAATCAAATATTGTAAAATAGTTCAAATGTACCATGTAGGCAATGGGAATGAACAATGTTTCAGTCTGGTAACAGCTATGACAGGGAACAGGTGCTCCTGTAATATTTGAGATTAAACAAGTAGCCTACATCGCCCCCTTGTGGTGGGATCATCAATAAGCCCAACTATTATAAAGGCACAGCTCTTCAGAACTAAAGAGTTTTTAATGTATGCTTCTGATTGTTGTTTCTCTTCAGAACTACTGGAGCAGTTCGGGTGGCAGAGAAGATGCTAACAGGTAGGCATTGATATAATAAAGTGTACTGATAATGTTCAGAGCTTATGTTTTGAATTATGTGTCATTAGGATTCCTTCTGGTACCAATGGCTGGATGGACTATGTGCCAATATCAGCAAAGAGAAATGTCACAATGTCTGTGTTACAAGAGTTGCGGGAAGGTGATATGCTGTTTCTGACTTTTAAATGAACTTATGAACTTAATATTGTAAAAGGCAAGATACATAACCATAAACATAACTTGGACAAAAGGCAAGAAGATGGACTAAAAATAGGTTCGAATAATAGAGACCTCAAAGCTACAAAAATGGCAAAAAAAGTTGATTGTTTTCAATGAACCAATTGATTCAGTTCACAAATCGGCCTGGTTACAATATACTGGTTCAGCACATTAGGAACATTTCTATTACTGTTTCAGTGTTTTACCATTTTGATTGGTTATTAAAAGTACATTTGTGGTTGTATGTGTACATGTGTATACAGGAGGTCCATTGCTGTATGAGAATGTACGACTTGTACAGAACTCTGTCACTCTGAATGGGAGTCAGAGGGCACTTTTTGATTATGTCATCAGTGAGGATGAGTGCTCTGAGCTCAAACATCTGGCACACGTGAGAGTTTACATCTGTTGTGTCATTCTCAGTGTCTTAAAACGAATCAGCTTATGTGATATAGTATTTTATTTCATTTCATGTCAGATGTACTGTAACTTTACAGTTAAGTTTGGGTTGTTATCTCAATATTTCCTTAGAGTGTCACTGCAGCTGGTGACGGCTACAAGGGGAAAATGTCTCCTCACACACCAAATGAGAAATTCGAAGGGGCGACAGTATTGAAAACGTTGAAGGTTAGTAGTTTTTAACATTGACTGACACTTGTGTGTTTACAGATCGTGTGACACATGAACCCAATATTACAGTAAAGTGTAATAATACGTAGCACACTCAAATATTGAGTAAAATTTGAATTAATATTTCTTATCTGTATATTTTGTTATTTGGAATGTAAATGAACTTATAATTACAATTTATATTTATTTATTTTGAAAGATTTATGTACATTCTGATTGGACAAAGAGTCGTGAGTAATTAAACAGTCATGCATATTATAATATTAATAATTAATTCTTTGTTATTTATCCTTGCAGTATGGCTATGAGGGACGTGTTCCTTTAAAAAGTGCCCGCCTCTTTTATGATGTCAGCGAGAAGGCCAGGCGGATACTTGAGTCATACTTCATGCTAAACTCTACTCTTCATTTCTCATACACACATCTTGTGTGTAGGACCGCCATATCTGGTACGTCACCTCAGCTCTCAGTTTCTACCTCAGATTAAACCACATTTTGATTACTCAAGTCAGAATATACTACACATAATGCTGCGTCATGAGGTATGTATATACTTGCATACTGTGAGTGTGTATGTGTAAAATATTTAAAACATCTACATAATATATATTGTTAAACATATATATAATTTATAATACATATTTATATAACATTAAATATTAATGATATATATATATATATATATATATATATAATTTTATTAATAATATATATATTTATATAATATTGTATCTATATAATATATTGTCTCATATATATATACAGGCCTGGATTGGCTAATCGAAAGCACCGGGAGAATTCCCGGTGAGCCGCTCTGTTTTTTTGGCCGTGAGGGCCGGGGTCGTCATGCCACTGGGTTGAAATATGGATGCCGTCTCTACTAGGCTGCTTGCACTCACAGCAGGCCCGCTCTTTTATTTATTATTTTACTGCTGCCCTACTCGCAGAGTGCAGCCTGCAGGTTAATGATGATGTAATTATCTTTTGACTCCCCCGACAGCTGCACCTTACTCAAAAAACAAAAAAGTCAGTTGTTGGAGATATGCGAGCAAAAAATAACAGATAAAAAATGGATAATAGAAAGTGCAAAGGTGGCACTGAAAAGGCCAGAGTAAAAAAAAAAAACTCTAGAAACTGACGCAGCCAAATGTGCTAAGCGGAGTACCTTTTTCCTTAAATCCACCGAGAGTACAACAAATGAAGACGATGAGACGGCCAGTAAGCGGACGTGCAAAATAACGACATTTGCAATTTGGAAATTATGATATTTTTGAAAAATATGATGAATTACAAGGCTGTAGATAACAGTGCACTATTGCATACTTATATACTGAGGTTTTAATTACATAATTTTAATATAGTCAGTTGTGAACTAAAGTGGGCCAGTCTAAGGCATGAAACTCCAGGGCTGAAAATGAGTCCTGCATGTATATATATATATATGATTTTTTATATTTATTTTTTATAATATTTTTAATATCAGGTCAGCAGGACCACAGAAATGACCTCAGTCACCCAATACATGCAGACAACTGTCTTCTGGACCCAGAAGCGAATGAGTGCTGGAAAGAGCCGCCTGCTTACACCTACCGAGACTACAGGTAAGAAGTGTTAAAGGGGTCATATGATGTTGCTAAAAATAACATTATTTTGTGTATTTGGTGTAATGAAATGTGTTTATGCGGTTTAAGGTTAAAAAAACTAGGGATGCACCGATATGAAAATTTTGGCCGATACCGATAACCGATTATTCTTTATTAAAATGCGCTGCACACATCTGAATATTTGGGTTGAAGTGTTCTGGAACAGTGTTGTAAATACAATTAACCACTGATTTCTAGTCGTGTCCTCTTTTGGAAGGCCAAACAAAGTAGTTTTGCATTCATAATGAAACACACGGCGGGCTAGAATGAGCAGAGGCCGGTGGCTAGAGTGAGTGGCGGCAGGTGGGCTTGAGAACGGCTTGCGGCAACCACATGTGACGACCCCGGGCTGGACTCCGCTTCGTCCAGGTTATACGTCGGCTTTTTCACGGTGAAAGCCGATCCGGCGATCGACAGCGTGAAGTTGATGTATTCCCTCAGCGACCAGCACAGATCAGCTCTAGGCATGACGAAGCGGATATCGTCCTCTTTTGGAAGACCAAACAAAGTAGTTTGCTTTCACAACGAAACAGCGCCTTCACGACATGGCAGCAGCGGCAGCAACAATACTACAGTGAGAATAAAAGTTACGCCTTCTTTCTTTGTGTGAACATTTGGGCGGTGTTATGCAAATCCACATCGTGATGTAGACATGTGGGGGCGTGTTAGAACGAGCCGTTTTAGGTAGGCGTGGTTGACTCTTAACTTTTATAAAGAATATCTCTTTGGATTTGAGACTTTAGTATTCGCAACTTTACAGATCTTCTTTATGCACCAAGAGCTTGTAACACTCCAAAGAGAAAGGAAAAATTTAAATCGCATCATATGACCCCTTTAAAACAGCTCCAAAACCCTCTTCAGGACTCAAAATAGTTGTACTTTTAACTAAATGTATGCCTGGTCAGTTGTCATTTCTAGTCATTAAAATAAGTTTCACACAAACCAGTTATTAATTATATTTTTTTCTCCTTTTTTTGGTGATTCAGTGCACTGCTGTATCTGAACGGCAATTTTGACGGTGGAGAATTCATCTTTACAGAAATGGATGCCAAGACTGTCACCGTAAGGAAGAATTACTGTGCGTTCTGCTCATCTGTCCTCTCAGGTAGAGTTTGGCAGTTAAACGCTCTGTTTTCCCGTCGCAGGCCTCAGTGAAGCCCAGGTGCGGGCGAATGGTGGGGTTCTCTTCTGGCGGTGAGAATCCACACGGTGTGCGAGCGGTCACTAGGGGGCAGCGGTGTGCTGTGGCGCTCTGGTTCACTTTAGACCCCCTCTACAGGGAGCTGGTGAGGAAACCTGTTTGTCTGTCAGAGAGAGCACATACAGTGTTTATTTTTCAGTCTTGGTTTAGGTTTTAGTAATGCCAATGATATTATATTAACATGGTGGCATGTCTATATATATATATATATATATATATATATATATACAGTATATATCACTAAAATTCTGTCTAGTTGGAAAATGTAATTTAAGAGGAAGTGGAATTTTCCATTGTACAGTAAGCACAAGTCTTGAGCCACATATGGCCACCTATACAGAAGTGTTATACCCAACAGTGAGTGCTGTCAAACCGTTAAACCACTTCCTGTTCTCACAACACACTAACATGATGCCCATTGTATTTATATACACTAAGCACATGTTTCTAAGGCCTTTGACTTGGAGTATTTCTATACACATCAGTGAACCCTGACCACATTAAATGAATGAATACCTATGCTGTACCTGGTATAAGTTATACGTACACCGTTATAAGAGTCGTATCATTTTTTTTTCTTTTGAAATAAACAGGGCACTGTATTATTAAAGCTCAATTATTAAACCTCCTCCTTAGTCAAAAAACACCATTTATGCAAACTGAAAAATGGCTTGTAAAATACAGTACTTGTACAGTAAAACATGCCTGAACATGTGAGGTTACAAGGAGGAAGTAAGATGTTGTTCACTTCTAAAGAACCAAGTATTTAGACAGATGTTTTTTTTAAACCATGGATTTGGATGGCAGCTAGTAATAATTTAAAATGCGCAATTGAAATGAATGAATGAATTATTATATAAATACATTTTATAATGAATGTTTTAAGAAATTATTTGATGACTGTTTATATATAATTTATATATAAATTTAAAAATTACACATATATATATATATATGACAAAAAGCCTACTATTACTATTTTAGCAATAGGACAAGTCCTGGGATTTTGAGTCATTCCTCTTGCAGAACAGAGGCCAGGTCACTAAGTGATACTGGTGAAAGAAAACGTTTTCTAACTCACTCCTCCAAAACACCCCAAAGTGGCTCAATAAAATACAGATCTGGAGACTGAGCAGTCCATGGGAGATGTTCAGCTTCATTGTCATGTTCATCAAACCACTCTGTCACCAGTCTTGTTGTGTGTATTGGTGCATTATCATCGTGATTGAGGCCACTACCTGCAGGGTGCAATGTTTGAACCATTGGGTGCACATGGTCCTCCAGTATGGTTCGGTAGTGTTACCTGTCTAGCACCAGTAGTGGGCCTAGGGTATGCAATGATATTGGAGCCCAAACCATCACTGATCCACCCAGTGCTTCACTCTGGGCATGCAACAGTCCAGGTGGTAAGCCTCTTTGGGGCTTCTCAACACCATAACTCCCACAAATGTGGGACAATGAAGGTGGCTTCATCAGAGAACAATACATGTTTCACATAGTCCAAAGCCCAAAATTTGCACTGCCTGCTGGCACCAATCAAACTGACGTTTGCCACTGGCACAAATGGCCAAATGTTTGGCTACAGCAGCCTGACCATGAATATTAACCCTGTGGAGCTCCTGGTGAAAAGTTTTAGTGGAAACTTTTCCACTAAAGGTCGAGGTGCACATTTATTTCTGCAGTGACTGTGTGGTTTTGTATTTTGGATACAATGTGGGTCGCATCCCTTTTAGAAAGCTTCCTCTTTCATTAACAGTTACTCCTGTGAGATGTGGTATGTCCTTTGTGGTGGTATGCCGACATTTTCCTGGATACTGTGGCTCTCGATACACCGCAAAAAACTTGCTGTCCTGGTCACAGGTGCACCAGCGAGACACGCACCAACAAACTGTCCTCTTATGAATCTGATATGTATCCCCGATATGTTGTGTGGATTGCAATATTTTATGCACAGCTGTGCTATTGCTCTGCTAATTTAACCTTCACACTGAATCCACACATAATATAGGCACAAAACCTCCAACTTCCAACACTATATCGGCCAGTGTTTCAGTTTCGTTGTTTTCAATTTAATTATTTAATAATTGCAATTATTATTATTTTTTTAACTTTTAAAACATAAAACAATTTAAGAATTGTTTAGTGTTTAATAAATAATGTTTAATAATAGAATGCTAAAGAAATGTGTGATGTATTAAAATATGATGAAATATAATGTGTTTTAAATCTAATTGCAGGAGAGGCTTCAAGCTGATGAGGTGATTCAAGCCCTGGATAATCAGCACATGTGGGACCAAGGGCTGCATATAAACCCAAAAGACGAGTTATAGTCCATCAGCCAATGGGAGAGAAAGTACAGGGTTCAGATCATTTCTTATTTATTTAATAAGCAGAATGATTTTATTTTTTTACTGTGTGAAATTTTGTTTTATTTTGCTTCTGTCTGTTTGTGAGAATTTTTTTATTGTTATTATTATGTGTGCATATAAAATCTCAGCTCACATTTATTACGTTGCGTACCTTTAAAGTCAACATGAAATCAAAATCGACTCAACGTTATACCATGGTATTTCTAGTCTGGTATAAAACAGAGTTTTCATGATCCTTTTTCTGTTGAAATATCCTGTTTCAGACGGTAATACATCAAATTACGGAAGTAGTTCTGAATAGATTTGTATGTTGACTTTAAAAGAAACAGTGAACATAATTTAAATTTCTATCAAGGAAAGTATGGTTTGACTTACTTGCCATTCATACCACCAAAGAGTGAATTGACACTGTACAACAGCATATATACATTATATTGGATGTATTTTATATTCAAGTTTATTTAACTAGAGATAATCCAAGTTACCTAATGAAACAGACTATGAAAAATGAGGATTTGCACAGTTACATACTTACTGTATATTCTTCTGTGATATTAACATACAATAGCTGTCAGTTTTTTAACAGTGCACTGTGGTTTCCTTCACATTGTGACACCACAATGCTTTCAGATGAGTTAATTTATACTGTTTACAAATGATCTGACTCAAGCTATGTTGTAGTTTGATCATAGACTGCTATAATAGCAAGCGTCAGCTTTTGATTTTAGGAACCTTTTTAATAAAAGATGCTATTTGTTCCTGTTTCAAGGAATTTGAACTTAAATGTGGCATATTAATTGTCCTTTCCTTTCAAATTCATTGACTCGTGCGTCTCTCTGTGGGTAGATGAAATGTGCTTTGCACACTTGCCTCAGCTCTTGTCGAATTTGAACAAGGACGATGGCCACTTTTTCTCACTGATATTTAATTACATGAGTATTTAAGTCTACTTTTACTGTATGTAATGCACAGTGATGTTTGCAATATGTATTTTAAATTAAAGACTGAATTATACTTATTTGTGTCCTTTACTTGCACTGATTTTTTAATACACATTATGCTGTACAAACACAATCAAAATATTTGACAGTGACTTTGGCTTACCCTTAGGTTTAATCTGTTGTTGTTGTTGTTTTTTTCAGAAACTTTAAAGTAGTTCAACCAATAATTAAAATTAGCTGAAAATGTGCTCACCCTCAGACCAAGATGTAAATGAGTTTGTTTCTTCATCTGAACAGATTTGGAGAAATTTAGCATTACATCACTTGCTCACCAGTGGATGGGTGCCGTCAGAATGAGAGTCCGAACAGCTGATAAAAACATCACAATAATCCACACCACTCCAGTCCATCCAGTGGTGTGGATTACTGTGATGTTTTTATCAGCTGTTTGGACTCTCATTCTGACGGCACCCATTCACTGCAGAGGATCCTTTGATGAGCAAGTGATGTAATGCTCATGTAAATTTCTCCAAATCTGTTCTGTATCTATAGCACTTGCCGCTATAGATAAATAACTGGAAGAACAAAATGTGTTAAATAGTTAAACTCTTTGCACTACAAACCAACGTCTTCATAATTATGATACTAAAATGATAACAAATACCAGTTTGCAATATCATTCAGCATAGCAGGCTGTTTTTGTACAGCTAGAATAATTGGAAGTAGATGAAACCAATTACTTGGCATATTCAAGTTACAAATGGCTGTGTACTCATGTTAAAAATAAGGTGGATAGCGTAGTTTGAACAATTTCTAGTAGACTCTTCTACAGGAAGACGGCATCAGAAGCTATTAATATAACACGTACATATATGCATGACCACACAGGAACCCATTTAGGTATCTCTGCCAGACTTCAAAAGCTTTAACCATCACGAGTGAACAAGAAAGCTTCAGGTGTTCTCCTTTAAAGAGTCCAGGTACTTTTTTTTTTTTGGTGCAGTTTCATAAAGTTGAATTCATAATTTAAAGTAACTTCATCACTGTCTTTTTGTTTATTGTTTTATTTAGTCTCGGGGTGATTTACAGTATTATTCTTAACTGTGCTAACTTGGACATGGATCGAGTGTGCAGTGCAATCTTTCTTTTATTTATTGGTAAGTGAGCTTTATGCCATTTTAAAATTCTATTTTGTAAAGAACATTGTTTGATATAATCTATCATGTAGAAAGTGAACTGGGGCTAGTCACAGGAGCTTTATTGCACTAAAACTAAAAACTAAACTTGTATAAACTTTTTTTATGTAGGTTTAAAAAATTTTTTTTTATGATTTTTATTTTATTCACATTAAATTCTGGATATTTTTATGAAAATTAGCATATTTTTAGAAAGACACAATTTCTGCATATTTATATTTTAAACATGATGATCCATCAGGACCTAGGTCACTGAGTGTCTGATATCATCTGGTGGGGAAAAATGACATACAATTGCATTTTATGATTATAGCCACTAGAGTGGCCTATTGAATCCTATGGAGATTCTTAAATGAGCCAAACAAGTGAAATCTTTAAAGGGGTCATATGATGCTTTTTTAAAGATCATTATTTTGTGTATTTGGTGTAACAGAATATGTTGACATGCTTTAATGTTAAAAAAAACATTATTTTTCAAATACTGTACATTATTGTAGGTCCTCTATGCCCCGCCTCTCTCAAACGCTTAGTTTTCTACAAAGTCCCTCCTTCCGACAAGCGCAGTCTGCTCTGATTGGCCAGCTGACCCAGTGCATTGTGATTGGCCGAACACCGCAAGCACTCGTCGGAAATGTAACACCCCTTACCATAATCGTGAGCTTTATCTAAATAAATGTAAAGACAAAGCCCGAAAGGGGAACAGAGTCGCCTGACAGACACAGTGATGAAGCTGGTCGAGCCGGGGGGCGTGGCAGAGTCTTAACTTTGATAAAGAATATCTCTTTGGTTTTGAGACTTTAGTCTTTGCAACTTCAGTGATCTTATCTATGCACAATCAGCTTGTAACACTCCAAAGAGAAAGGAAAACTTGAAATCGCATCATATGACCCCTTTAAAACTACACCAACTTGAGGCTTCATTAAGCTTTCAGATATATATATCAAAACATTAAAAATATATATATATTGTAAAAAAAAAAAAAAAATTGATACAGAATTTTAATCCAAACACATGCATATTCATACAGTTCATAAATATGTAATAAATATAAAAGATACATTTAAAAATATAAATATGATATAAACTCATTGGACTCCACCCCATCACTCAAATTTAACTGTGTTAAGTCAAAATAAAATTCAAAATGACAGTCATTTCCCAGCAGAAACATCATAAATGCTATAATGTGTTTCAATGGGAGAGTGTGTGCCATGTGTGTGTTTGTGTGTGTGTGCCTGTGTGGGTATGTGAGTTTTTTTGTGCATTGGGGACATTCTGCAGTCTCAGCCCTTTGTTTGGGTATGCATCTTTTCTGGATTGTGTCAGATTTTATATAGTTAAATTTTTTTTTTAAATGCTATTTTTTTTATAATAAAATATAATTAAGTAAATATATAATTATGCGAATTCTGTCTTTTAAACTCAAATTCTGCCATGTGTTTTACATTATAAATGTATATTGATTATGCACTCTAAGAAACGTTTGTCAAAATAGGGCGCAATGTATTATGTTAATGTGATTAATTTTCCACATAGATTTTTCACAGGTGTTTACCTGTATTTTGAATTAAGCATTGCATTGCATTGCATTGTGTTGTGTTTTATGGTTATAGGAAAACTTAGGAAATTAGATTTAAATTACCAGTACATGTTCTGTTGTATATATAAAAATATTTATGAAACACAAAATGATTAATAAAACCGGATTACATTTAGCAGAGAACTGTTAAATAGTGTATAATACGCCATGAAATGGCAGCTTCTCACTTTGTCCACTTGCCCCATATAGTCACTTGATTGAGTTATGTATTAAAGGGGTCATATGATGCGATTTCAATTTTTCCTTTCTCTTTGGAGTGTTACAAGCTCTTGGTGCATAAAGAAGATCTGTAAATTTGCAAAGACTAAAGTCTCAAATCCAAAGAGATATTCTTTATAAAAGTTCAGAGTCAGCCACACCTACCTAAAACGGCTCGTTCTAACACGCCCCCACATATCTACCTCACTATGAGGAAAGATTTGCATAATGCCGCCCAAATGTTCATGCAAAGAAAGAAGGTGTAACTTTTATTCTCACTGTAGTTTTGTTGACGCTGCAGCCATGTCGTGAAGGCGCTGTGAAAGCGAAACTACTTTGTTTGGTCTTCCAAAAGAGGACAATATCTGCTTCGTCATGCCTAGAGCTGATCTGTGCTGGTCGCTGAGGGAATACATCAACTTTCACCATGGACAAAGCGGAGTCCAGCCCGGGGTCCGTCACATGTGGTTGCTGCTCATTCGTTGCTGCTCGCCGTTCTCGACCCCGCCGCCTTAGCTCACTCTATCCCGGCCTCAGCGCACGCTAAGCCAGGGCTTTGGCTCACGCTAGCCCGGCCTCAGCTCACTCTATCCTGGCCTCAGCGCACGCTAAGCCAGGGCTTCCCCTCACGCTAGGCCGCTGTGTTTTTCGTTGTGAAACGAAACTACTTTGTTCGGTCTTCCAAAAGAGGACACAACTACAAATCAGTGGTTAAGTTGTATTTACAACACTGTTCCAGAACAGTTCAACCCAAATATTCAGATGTGTGCAGCACATTTTATGGAGGACTGTTTCCTGATCCTGGTAGAGTAGACTACAATGCCGGCTGTTCTGACTCACAAACTGCAAGTAAGTTTTTTATATTAAAGAATTTGCCACTGACGATTCAAAGTTTTGAGCAGTGTAGAGTAGCGCTTGTTGTTTGTCATTTCTCTGATCACAAATGCAGACAGAGTTTTATGTTTATGCGGCGCGATGCAATGCAACGCAACGTGTAAAAAGACAGTATAAGTCATTATAATCAGTAATTATGTCCCCACTGGATGCAACAAATGCATCATTTGTAATGGGTTTGAATGTTTTTGTCTCGTCGCTCTGGCCAGACAGGGCATCACAGTATGTGAGGGGCGCAACATTTCCGTCTCATGCTTGAGGTATTCGGCCAATCACAACGCATTGGATAGCTGGCCAATCACAGCACACCTCGCTTTTTCAGACCGATGAGCTTTGTAAAAATCGACGCGTTTAAGAAAGGCGGGGCATAGAGGAGAAACAATAATGTACAGTATGTGGAAAATAATGTGTTTTTTTTACTTTAAACCGCATAAACACATTTCATTACACCAAATACACAAAATAATGTTCTTTTTAGCAACATCATATGACCCCTTTAAAGTCACATGTCAGCAGATATTTTGTGTTCAAAGAAATTATCCATCTAACAACAAGAAAGCATAACAAGCTCAAAACCATCAATATTCCAACCATATATACTTGAATAAATGATCAATTATCTTATTTCTTTTAACTTCCTAACCACAACAGGAGCTTTGATCAGCAGTACAAGTCAAGGGAACTGAACTTCCATTTGAAACCAAAGTGCAAAGCCTGTAAAGGAGACTCGGTCACAAAAAGCTGCATTTTTCAGCCAGATGGAAAGTACAAAGTTTAGTACTACAACCCGACTGATTTAGACTGTAACTCTGAAATAGACAGATTACATGAAAAATGGCATATTTATACAGAAAACATGTCACTTGGTCAACATTAATTCTGTCAAGACCAATGACAGTGGATGGTACTTCTGCAAGGTCATGAGAGATATTCCTGTTCTCAAAGAAAAAAAAAGAAAGAAAAAATTCAGTAATATAATAAAAGTTCTGGTCAGAAAGTAGAGGGAAACTTGGTATTTGCCACATAAATAAGAGTAAGTTGTATGGGTTATTTATTGTTGTGTTATGAAGTTAGAAGGCTATGTAGTTAATATAGCTTTTCTCTCAATACACTCTATGTAGCACTCTTTGTGGACACAAAGAATAGATACATCATAGATAGAGATACATATAGATACAGCAATAGTTTCAGCTACACACCAATATGGTGGTATTTGAAAAATTCTGGATAAACTCACTAAAAGAAACCATCATGTTCACAACAAGCTCAAGATCAACACTATTCCAGTCATATACTTCTTGTTTTAGCAACAGACAATAAATTACTGTTCTCTTCATTTTGTGACCACAACAGGTGGTGTGATTGGTGGAAGTCGAGAGGAAAGACTGAACGTCTATTTGGAACCAAAGTACGCTGAAGTTTGTGAAGGTGACTCGGTCACTATAAACTGCACTTTTCAGCCCGGTGGAAATTATAAACTGAGGTGGTACTACAGTGCGACTGATTTAGACTGTAACTCTGGAACAGAAAGATTACATAAAAAATGGCATAATAATAAAGAAAACAATGTCAATTGGTCAGTATTCACCATTAATTCCATCAAGACCAATGACATTGGATGGTACTTCTGCAGTGTTGTGAGAGATATTCCTGTTCTTGACCAAAAATGCAGTAATGGAACACAAGTTCAGTTAGCCAGCTTATGTAGGATCACTGCCTGCATATAAACCCAAAAGACAAGTTCAGTAGTTCATCAGCCAAAGTGGTAGAATTTAATTATTATTAATAATATTGTTGTTGTTGTGTGGATACAAAACCTTGTACGTATCGTTCTGTTTAAAGTGGAAATGTGTCTCTCATTTGTGCCAATTGCTTCATTTGAACAAGGACAATGGTCTTTTTTTCACTGGTATTTAAATTTACATTTAAGTCTGCTTTTATTGTATGTAATGCTATTTGCAATTTTTTTTTTATTAAAGACTGAGATATATTTGTCCTAGCATTCTTTGTGATATATACAGATTATGCAATACACAGACATGCAACTTAGATCTGTAAAGAAAAATGCCAGTATTACATTTTCTGTTTCAGTTTGATGTTTAGTTCGACTTTTAAACAGTGGTTCAGGCTTGCCTTTAGGTTTAATATCGAAACCACATCCAATGCGTCACAGTTCTCAGCAAGTCATGTATGAGATGTCAAAACAAAACTCCATCAAATGTAGAGGGCCCCCCCAAAAAAGTATGTGGACACGTAAATCACTTAATTTCCAAATGTCTTGCATTAAATATAAGATATCAAGTCATAAGATACAATATATCAAGACGAAATATCAATGTGTCATTTATTTGAACTAAATATAGGACAAACACATTCTAAGTGAAATATTTCCCCAAAATATGTTTATGTTTCAAAGTACAAAGAACTGACTTAAAATATTCACTATAAATATCAGTTAATTAAAAGACATTGCACAAATGGTTCAGAAAAGTTCAATTAATTTAGAGAAAAGCTTGTGCAGATGCTAATTTGCTAACTATCTAATGCAATGGAATATTTCAATGAAACACAACTGTGACTTGAAGGTCCAAAAGTGTTCACATACAAGTTGGGGACATTATTTTTGAGCAGTGCTGTTTCTGCGAGTGAACAGAAAGCGTCTCTGGTGTTTTCCTGATACGTCTGATGTCAGTCGAGTTTTTTGTGGTGCTGATTCTCATTTCATGTTTATGCTGCTGACCTGCTTTCATGCCTGTAACTTGTGCACATTACTTCAAAGCAACTCTCACATTTTAACCCACTTTAAGAGCGGTAAGTGTACTTTAAATAATTTTAAAACTATTACTTTTTCAGCTGCAGATCTTGCATGCTGTGTATTGCATTAGAAGTATAGTTATTTGCCAAAACCATTTGAAAGAATCATTCTGTTTGCTTGAATAATGTCTAGTAGACTTAAACTTCTACAGGAAGACAATATAATTCTTTTCATAAGCTATCAACAGATAGCTCTGAGACCTATTCATATATGCATGACCACACAGGAACCCGTCTAGGTATCTCTGCCAGACTTCAAGAGCTTTAACCATCACGAGTGAGCGAGCGAGGTGCTGTTTTCATTGAAGTTGGATCTATCATTCAATTAAAACTATTTTTGCTCTGAAGGAGGTTTATTATTCACGACCCACTCTGTGTCCAGCTTAGGCATGGATCGACTGTGCAGTATAATAGTTGTTCTTTTACTCACAAGTAAGTGAAATTTTGTGCTATCTTAAAAGCCTAGTTTGTTAAGAACAATGTTTGGATTTAATCTAACACATAGAATTAGCCAGATATTTTGTTAAGTAGAGTTTTTGACACTTTATGACCAAAATATGACCAAGGTTAGTTAATACAAAGGCTTTATCTCAATAAATGTTAGATTTTGATTACACAAATGTGTTTCACTTAGCAATAGTTTTGTAAGTCAGTTGCAAGCATCTAGTTCAAAAACCTCTTAAATTAGAATAATTTTGTACATTTTGTCTTTTACAGTAAAATTTTGTCACATGTGTTTTACGTTATTAATGTAGTTTATTAATTACAATATTTGTTCACCAAAACAATAGATTATCTTTTACATTTTCACTGTTTCATTAATCATTTTGTGTTTCATAACTATTTGATAGTATAAATTTGCAGAAAAGCTGTTAAATTGAATATAACATGTCATTTAATGTTAGATTCCAGTTATGACAACAGGTTCCACGATGAAAATGTATATTTCCTGTGCAATAAATATATATATATATATATATATTTTTTTTTTTTACAGTTAAAACTTTGACTACTACAAACTACTTTGACTAAGAAACTGACTTTCAAAAATAAACCAAGCAATTAGCCCTATAGTTTACCTTGTATTTACGTTATGGACAAGCTATGAGTAAAAATGACAAATTAACACATTGGTTGACAAACCCAGAATAGCTTGTTTGAGGTATTATATGAGTAATTACAGTCATGTGCCATTAGATGTTTTGCATTTAAAGCTGTTAGTTAGCTCAACTAGTATCAACTAATGTTAAGAACCAAAAAACTCAATTCAACTTAATAATTTATCACAATGTCAGTATTCCAGTCATGTGTCTATTGTTTATAGCAACAGACAATAAATTATCTTTATTTTTTTGTTATTTTCCTGACCATAACAGGACCTTTGATCAGTAGTACAAGTCAAGAGGAATTTAAAGTCTATTCGGAACCCAAGCACATCCAAGTTTGTGAAGGAGACTCAGTCACATTCAACTGTTTTTTTCAGCCAGGTGGAAAACATAAGGTGAGCTGGTACTATAGCCAGACACCTAATTTAGGCTGTGACTCTCTAACTGACAAGATACCTGAAGAACAGCATTTTTATACACAAAAGAATGACATTTGTGCAACACTCAACATTAATTCCATCAAGACCAATGAGAGCGGATGGTACTTCTGCAAGGTTACAAAAGATATTCCTTTTCTCGAAAACAAATGCAGTGATGGCATACAAGTTCTGGTTGGTAAGTAGAGGGTTGTTTCAAATATAGAAATGCTGCGATGTAAAATTAATACAATATATTTCAGATTCTGTACTATTTCTCTAATCAAATATGTAAATATGTGACACTGATCATGTGAACTCCTTTGTACAAATAGTCAGATTTGATTTATTCCATTGAAGCACTAGATGCTCTTTGGATGATTCTCAAATAATGTTGGAGAAACAAGATGATCACGCTTTACACAAACGTAATGAGTTCATGCATCGAGTGTTGCTATCATTAAAGCAGAAGAGGACAAGCCAAATACTAAGACATTATGAAATTAATGTAAATTGTTCACCTAAACTTTTCCCTCAAATTGGTCTGTTGATAATTTAATTTGTCATTAAAAATGCAAGAGTAGTCATTAAATCATATAAATAAAAACATTTTCACCAGTGGTCTCAGACTGTTAAGGTGAACGTCAAAGAGCTTGATCTATAAATATAAATTGCAATGTAAAAACTTCTTTATGCAAACTATTTATGTTGCATTACAGCTTTAAATATTTGTGGGAAATAAAGACAATGTATACCAATAACCAAATTTCCAATTTGACAACTATAGAATTCCATCACTTTCACATTTTAACTGCCTAACATTTAAACTCCTAAATCCTTTATTGAAATTATTAAAAGTACCAAAAAAAAAATCACAGTTTTGACAACTTTCACTGTTGTTTTTTCTCTATAGATACCAACAGCACCCAGGAATATCCAAAACAGACACAGACTCTGACGCAAAATCTAACTACACAAGATTCACCCACAACTTGCTTGATCAGTGGTAAAATGTAGCTTTTTTTCCCCTCATTAAGTAATGGGTTTACTGCATTATAACTAGGCTACTGCTTCTATTGTGGTCTGTGTGTAGGTTTGTCTCAAATATCAATAAACTTGTTCTCAAATGTACGTTTTTAGGAAATAAAGTGTACTGTTGCTACAAAATTATTTACAGGCATTCAACTGACATAGTACTACACAGTGGGGTCCAGAAGACAGAGACCCCTAGTTGTCCTTTTTTCAAATTTTTATTATAATTTTTTATAAGTGCTGTCAAAATTAGCGCTTTAACGCATGCAATGAATTTTTTCAGTTTAACAACGTTAAAAATATTTAACGCAATTAACGCAGGGGCGAAGCTCGGGTTGGCCACCCCACTCACAACTGCAGCTTCTGTCTCTTTTTTTCTTGACAAGAATTGTGTTTATTTAAATGCAGAACGTCTTTACGACCACATCAAATGGGAGACTTTTCAGACGTGCGTTCTAACTTCACCTCAGCGCCTGGCGCGAGTCAAATGAGCGAGGAAAAGGTACAGGTGTCAAGAGAGCTTCAGTAGAACAACAATGAACTGCTGTCAGATGAGATGTTGTCAGGCCATATGTCAGTAAAAACGTCAGCCGTTATACTGTGCTCGTAGCACTTGCTCTTCAATCACACGCACAAATACGCCGACACACACTGTAGCCTGTATAATTTAATATTAGTCCAAAGAGCCAAAGAAACTACGAGCATGCAATGTCGTAGTTATGTCGTCAGTTAAGTCATGAAGTTACCAAAAAGGCAGTTAAAGCTGCCTTAAAACTGTGCATGTAAGTAAGTAATTGTTATATATGAGTCACATTTAAGAACATCTCTGAAATGCAGTGGTTTTCCAAACTGTCCTGGAGCACCAGCACTGTCTCCCTCGTCTAACACACCCGATTCAACTCGTCAGCTCATTAGTAGAGACTTTAAGACCTGAAGTGAGTAAGAAAAGTTAAAGAGTTATGAGAAAATAGGATGCGTGTGATCCGCAAAACTGTGCATGTAAGTAAGTAATTGTTATATATGAGTCACATTTAAGAACATCTCTGAAATGCAGTGGTTTTCCAAACTGTCCTGGAGCACCAGCACTGTCTCCCTCGTCTAACACACCCGATTCAACTCGTCAGCTCATTAGTAGAGACTTTAAGACCTGAAGTGAGTAAGAAAAGTTAAAGAGTTATGAGAAAATAGGATGCGTGTGATCCGCATCATGTTCAGCAGCGGCAGCTCTTAAAGTTATAGCAGTCAAAAAATCTAATAACCCAGCTGCTGTGATGTCTGTTAATCAAAGAACAAAAGGAAAAAGAGGAAATCTATAACTTTTGTAGCTTTAAGGATTCATCTATTTAATTTTGAATTTAGTGTTTGATAACTTTAAATTGCTGTATATTTCCTACTTTCTGAAGGGCACAGGTATAAATATGACTTTTATTATAATGGGTTTATGTGAAGATTGTTTTAACTTCACTTAAATGAGAAGTTGTTGTTTTTAAAAGTCTACTAAATGTTAAAATGGATAGATCTCAATTGTACTGTAATGTTGAATAGCTAGTGACAATGGTTAAATATTAGGAAAAAGAAAAAAAGTATTACTTTAATAATACTATCAGTAGTATTGGTATCAGTGATACTCACCTTCACTTCAGTCATAAAAAAAGGTACCATTAAACAAATATTTAAAATATATTGCTATTATTAAAATTATTACAATATAAAAATCACAATTGATTTCAGAAAAAATATGCTACCTAATAAAATACCTGACCTTAATTTTTTTACTGATTGACAGCACAAATTTTTATTATTATTATTTTCTTTTCCTAAACCTTTCTGTTTATGTCCAGGATTAAATTAAGTTTTGAACCCCAGATTTTCAATGTGGTTTTAGCCTTTTAGACACCACTGCATTTATGATAATACGTTTTTGGAGTTCAAGACCAAAAACACAATTACTGGCTTGTCAAGCAGGTTTGTAGAGTGATTTGGAGGGGAAGAATTTAGGAAAAAATTGTTTGCTTTCCCTTCAAAAAAAAAAAGGTTGCAATCATATTTGATTCAATACAACTCCATAATCAAATTCACACATGCATTCTTTGAAAATATAAATCTAGCGTTAACCCTGCAGCCATAGGAAGAGCCACACATGTGACAGAATTACCTAACATTGGGCTATTTCTTGTAAATTTTTGTGTGTTACAGCCACAACAATCCCCACAACATCCTCCACACCACCGTACAGCATTGCTCAGTGGCGGATATGGCTAGCGTTGGCAGTTGGATGTGTAGTACTAGTTGTGTTAATCGTTGTCATATGCATCTTGACTCGCAAACCTAAAGGTACGTCTACAATGACTCAATGTTGCATTTAAAAAAATCTGTCGCCAAATAAATAGTTTAATCCTAAACTAATTTATTTAACAAAAACAATGTTAACTTTGACCAAATCTAACGTTAAGAACCTACAGTCCATTGTCCGTCTCACCTTAATGTTTTATACACTTAATAAAATCAGTGCAGAAATAATTTTCACTCAGAAATATCTAGTGAATTTTACAACTAATTACAAAGAAATGGCAAGCAACACATTGAATTAAGCATGAAATTTTGGATGACTAAAATACTATTTTTCTGTAAAACGTATTCCAATAATCTTTATTTACAACTTTGAAAAATATTTTTTACAGTGTATGTGGCTCAGTAAATTGATAATGATTATTTCAAATGCATGATATAAGCATCATAAAGCATTACAACATAACATCACCATAATAATGATGTTCAAAGATTGTATAACTTTACTCAAACTAGGCCTAACTTTACTCTCAAGCCAACACACATAATGCTAAAGCCTTGTGGTTATGAATGTCTACAGCCTATAACTATAATTTTTGCCTCAAACTGAGGGAAGAATCAAGATTATTTCTTGCTGTTATCAAAATTATGCCATCAAAAATCCTTTAAAAGACACACAGACTGTTTGGGGTCCTCATACGAGACTCTGCTGAGAAACATTAATGCATCCTCAGGAGTCTTTGTACAAGGTCAGATATTTCCTGGGTCGCAAACTGAGCGCTGAATGAGTGTGGGTGTCATGTGGTTAAGCGCTATGAGACTGAGCTCCAGTTGATGATTAAACTGCCTCTCATTGTCTGTGGTTAGACTTGAGCAGTTAGGTGCAGCATGCACAGCAAAACCATTTTCTTCCAGAACCTCAGCGTGGCCTGTGCTTTGCACTGTTAACCATTTGATGTAACTCTACAGTAATGTTATGTGTTTCTAGAGATCATCTATGAGAACACTAAACCAGTGGAATCGAGCTGCTGGAGGCAAAACCGGACTAAGATGGAAATCTGCGACCTGCCTAAGTCCCAAAAAACTGACACCATTAAACCGCTGAGGAAGTATGACACTCTTTCAAGCAACAGAATCCACCGGCCATAACTATTCCATATGAAAGAATTATCCCCTGAAAACACATTAAATATCTTATATTAAATGTCTTACCATGGAAACATATTTAATTTTGTAATGTAGCACTGTAATGTAGCATGGGTAGATGTAAATATAAAGCTGTTTTTTTTTGTCAGAAAGAGATACATGAGAAAACCTGATTTTTTTTACTTTAATGACTTTCAGTTGTATCATACTGAAACATTCTGTGGTTACAAAAAACGTGAAAACAACAAAAAGAAAAATCTGCCACACTCCTTTTCCACTCACAATTAATAATGCATATTATTGTGACAGTACAAATAGGTCTATGGTATTTCAGAAATAAACATAAAGATTAATCGACCAAGATTACCCTTACGAAAAAGAAGTTTATTCAAGTGTGCTATTAGTATACTTCTTTTAAACTAAAAATAGGAAAGTATACTTTTAGTCTACTTTTTATGTACTTCTTAGAAATGGGCTTTATGTACTTCTAAGAAATATACTTAAAATGACATTTAAGTATACTTGACTTATACTTAGAAAAAGTCTAAATATATTTAAGCTATACTTGTGTTCCTAGAATGCGTGTTTTCATTGTTATACTGTAGGGGGCGCTAGTACACATCTTCTGTACAGAATTTCCAAAAAACACAAGTGAAGAAGAAACCGAAACAACAGATGCTTCCACATTCTAACACGATCATCAGACATAAAACAGCATCAAAACTATGTAACATTATGGAATAAAATGTCGACCAATGACGAGGTAATAATAACTGTCAAGCTTTGGGGTGTTGATCGACTCTATCTACGTTTTGATTATCATTCTGAATCCAATTCATAGTCTTTTTTCAGCTTTTTGTTCAAAATGTTGTTTATTTCTTTATTTTTTATTTATGAAACTTATCCACATTCAAGTGTTTAAAAAA